TCACATACATATATTAATCATGATTATCTAATGACAAAGAAAAACTGTTCTCGTTCAGCAAATATATGCGTTGACATGAAATTTAATAAAGGTGGAGAGATTGTATATATTTCTTCTAAAAATGTCTCTTTTGCTCACCAAGGCTTCATTTATTTGATCAAAAAAATGAATAAATGTGAAATATTATTATAATTTAAAATAGCTGTTTTCTGTGTGAATATCTGTTAAAATGTAATTTATTTCTGTGATGCGCAGCTGTATTTTCAGCATCATTACTCCAGTCTTCAGTGTCACATGATCTTCAGAAATCATTCTAATATGCTGATTTGCTGCTCAAGAAACATTTCTGATTATTATCAATGTTGAAAACAGTTGTGCTGAACAATATTTTTGTGGAAACTGTGATGCATTTTATTTTTCAGGATTCACAGATGAACAGAAAGTTCAAAAGAACAGCATTTATCTGAAATAGAAATCTTTTGTAACATTATAAATGTCTTTACTGCCACTTTTGATCAATTTAATGCATCCTTGATGAATAAAAGTATTAATCTCTTTAACAAAAATCTTACTGACCCCAAACTGCATCCTTGCTGTACAGCATATTCAGTATTTACAGTTTAATGTAATGTGTGTGTGTATGTGTGTGTGTGTGTGTGTGTGTTTCAGAATGTAAATGAGCTCAATCAGTGGCTGTCGGCCATCAGGAAGGTCAGTATTTATAATGAGCACATGCTGCCGTCGTTTCACCCCGGAGCTCATCGAGGAAACAAATGGACCTGCTGCCTTCAGCCCGACCGCACAGGTGTGTGTGTGTGTGTGTGTGTGACAGTACTTAACAGTGACCTCAGACTGATTAGATTACAGTGGACTATTGGGTGTTTATGGATGACTTTCAGTTGCAACGCTTCATTATTTCTCATGACCATAAAGCACACTGAAATAATGCTGCATGTATTTTGTCATAGCACAGTCAAGATCAATAACATTAGATGTGATTGTTGAGAGAAAGAGCGGAGGTTGTGTTACTCACAGTCGTGTGTGTGTGTGTGTGTGTGTGTGTGTGTGTGTGTGTGTGTGTGTGTGTGTGTGTGTGTGTGTGTGTGTGTGTGTGTGTGTGTGTGTGTGTGTGTGTGTGAGAGAGCAGGGAAGCTTCTGGAAAAGCTATGTGCCGAGAGAAATGAATGTTCACTTGAGCTCTGCCGGAGGAATAATAATCACAGCGCTATTGATCCCTGGATAACAGTCAGACCTGATAAGATGAGATGATGTCGCTGCTGTAATGACAGAAATCAAGGAGTAGTGTCATTATTAAAACATTATTATTATTATTATTATTATTATATATTCAGTGCAGTGTAAGTCACTTTGGATAAAAGGGTCTGCCAAATGCATACATGTAAATGTATTATATTATACATTTATATATCCATTGTCTGCGTGAATATCATGAAGAAATATTTGTCAAATTTATTTCACATTAAAATAATGAGAATTTGAATTTAATATTCCTAGTTGTCACAATGCAAATGCAATGCAATCTTAATTTTGTTCAATCTGAATTATTCTAAAATTAAATTTCATTATCTTTGTGCAAAATATAAATTGTGTTTATTAATTTTATTGATTGATATATATAATTTTTTTTTAATTTTTTTTTTATAGTTTATTAAATATAACCCAGACATGATTTGGACCATCATCATGACATTCAAGTTGCTACAGTGATTAATAAAACATTATTATTATTATTATTGTTATTATTATTATTATTATTGTTATTAATGTACCTTGAATGCAATGTAAATCACTTTGGATAAAAACGTCTGCCAAATGCATAAATGTAAATGTATTTTATTATAATTTCTCAATATGCTGGGTGAATGTCATGAAGAAATGTCATTTTTATTTCACATTAAAGTAATGAGAACTTGTGGATTAAATATTTTTAATTAATATTAATTAATATTATTATTATCAATTGCTACAAACCAAATGCAATGCAATCTTTATTGCTACAAAATCTGTTATTTTAGTATCATTGATATACTGTTATAGTATGTTTTACTACTTTTTAATACTATTTTTTATATTTTCAATTTCATTTTAATTTGTTACAATTTTTGTAATTTTGTTGTGTCTTGTTATTTTTTATTTATTTATTTTTAGGATGTCTACACTGTAAAAAAACAATTTGTTGAGTCAACTTTGTAACCCTCTGCCTTAACATTTTTTGTTATCTTCATTTTTTTCAGTGTGATGCAGTTGTTTCAACATGCGTTTTTGAGTTGAAACAACTAGTTCATTCAACTTTCAGCTTGTTGTCTGGACAATTTATAAAAAATAAGTTTAAATCGCAAAATCTCAAAAAAAATGTTTACAGTGTGTATAGTTTATTTATATACATTTTTGTTTCCATTATACTTATTTTAGCACTTCCAGATAAACTAAATATTCTATTTCAGTTAACACTTACTTTATTTCAAGTAAACATAAAATAGTTTTTCATGGTTTAGGTTCAAGTTTTAGTTAATGATAATAACCTTGTTTAAAATTAGGCTTTATTTTCTATTTGCAAAATATAATTTTATTTATTTAGTTATTGTTATTTATATTTTATTAAATATGACGCATGTTTTGGACAATCATCATGACATTCGCCATGTTGCTACAGTAATTAATATGAATTAACTACCACAATCATCAAAAAAAGATCCCATATTAGTTATTTTACAGTATGCAATTTCATAGTTACAATAGTAAATGTCTATAAGGAAGAAATCCTCACTGTGCTCCTCTATTGACTCTGCTGATGTTTGGGACACAGGAAGCAGTACCTAGAGACACAGGAAGTTGAGCCAGCAGAACAGGAAGAGCCGCTGAAGGCCAGTCAGCCGTCATCAGGTCAGAGTTCATCTGTAAAGCAGCTCTGAGAGCCACACGCACTCATCCAGCACAGAATGCATGTTAAAGTGTTTCTTCTCTGTCCGTGTGTGTTAGTGTCTGCGCAGAGCCGATCTGAGCGCGCTCGAGCCGTCGCCGCTCGTCTGCTGGACGTCGTGCTGGATTTAGAACGAGCTCATTCGACCTTCCAGAGCCGAGAGCCAGACGAGAGCCGTCCGCTCATCCTGAGCTCATAGAGAGCGTGAGAAACGCTCCAGAGTCACGTTAACCTGCCGTTACTGTTCTTCAGCTTCAGCGCTCAGGAACAAGAACTGAAAAATCGAATTATGCAATGTTTTGGAAGCAAACTTGAGTTATTGATGAATGTCCGTGGAAATGTCAATTTTTACGTATTTGTACTTAGAAGTGTTTTTATCTTGATGCTCTGGACTGATTTGATCACAGATGCTTCTAAAATCAGCCGTGTGTGTGAGAGTCTTACAGTCTGCATGGCATTACTGTACACTAAACAGCATGAACACATTCACACACCCGGGTTATTATAGTCAACTACAATCAAAAACATAAAAACTGACTTGAAGGAAAATAAACATTAACTTAAATAAAATATAAATATTATTTCAGCTAGTTGCCAAAGCAACTTTTCTCATTTTCATTTAGTTTGTAAAATATTAGATTGTTGCAAAAAAAATTTTTTTTTAGTTTTACAAAATAATATTGTGAAATATTATTACAATTTAAAGTAATGGCTTTCTATTATGATGCATTTTAAAATGTCATTTATTCCTGTCATGCAAAGTTGAATTTTGCTCAAGAAACATTTCTTAT